ATTCCTGGCCAGGGAGCTATCCACATGGTGCTGCAGTCCTCTCCTGTCTCACCTGTTGCTCCCCCCAGCAGTGTATTTCAGTACCCCTGCCTGTTCTGTTCCCCACTCTGTCTCTGGTGAATCCTCTCAGACCCCGCCTCCACCTCTGGCCTACACCCCAGCTCTTGTATGCAGAAATAAATAAAATAATCTATATAATGTCTCAAATTATTTCTATGGTTCAAACCACATTTTAAGCTAATGATTCTGATCTAAGGGCCATACAAATTTAAAACTAGCATCTTCTTTTACTGGGAAGGGAAAGAACAAATGTTATTTGTGTGTTTGTGTGGAGTTGGGGGAGGGGGGATAGTTTAAGCATCCCCCCCCCCCGTTGTTACCATTTATCCTATCATGTCTTTATTCTTTAAAATTTTATCTTTTTTTGGTAAAGATTTATTTATTTATGCAAGCACTGGGGTACAGGCCAGAAGTGCAGGAGGATGAGAATGCACCAGAGAGAGAGCAGGGACCAGAACAGGCAGAAGGACCGAAATACACTGCTGAGAGGAGCAGCGGGCACAACAGGAGAGGTTTGCTGCGCATTGTGGACCTCTCCCTGGCCGGCCGGGAATCGAACCGGCGCCGTGGAGCCTGCGGACAACTTCACCGGCGCTGCGCTCAACCCGCTGCGCCACTAAAATTTTATCTTAATGAAATCCTTGTCTTTAAAAAAAAATGCACCTAGATTCGAACATAAGAGGCTCAGTTTCCATTTAACTCTAGTCACAGCCCCACTGTCAATTTCTTTACTCCAACTGTTCTCTATCTTATCTGCCTCTGTCACCATAGCCTCATGATTCATTCATGGTTCAACAATTGCTGAGGTGTCAGGGACTGAGCTGCGTGCTGGGTACGAAAGATGCAGGGCGAGGCTCTGGGGAGTTTCGCTTTATGTCCCGGCACTTCCTAAGGGTGTTCTCTCTGCCCTTCCCACCCCTGCTCCCCCTGCGCTCTAGCAGGGGGTTTTAAGCCTTGTCTTCCGGTGTTTAATCCTTGGCGAAAAAGGACAAGGGTGGACCCGCGAGTCCCCGGCAGAGGGAAAGATCAGAGGCGCGCAGAACCCGGGCGCCCGAGAAGCCGGCGAGGTTCGCTCCCCACCGCCGCGGACGCCCGGAGCGTTCCCAGGGCGCAGACAGTGCTCGCCGGGAAGGAGGCAAAGCTGAGAAGAGGAAGCTTGGCTGAGCCACAGCGTGGGGTCGGGGCCTCCCGTCCTGGCTGCACGGGTCTTGAACCCAGAATCGTCCCTGGACTGCATCTCACACCGGGCGCGGGAGGTTGCGGGAGAGGGAGCGGGAGCAGGAGCCCGTGTAGGCTGGGGCACCCTCCTCCCACGCCACCCTACTTCCACCAACTCTTCTTGGGGTAGAAACGCAGCGGAGTTGTGGTCCCCTCGCTGCCTTTCTGTTGGAGTCCTTCCCCTGCCCAGGGGCTCCCCCCAGCGCTCTTGAGGCGCTCACACTCCTCGAGCTCCTGCACCCCAACCTCAGACTCACTTCCCGGGAGCCGGAAGCACAGGGCCCCAGACCAGAGCAAAGGGGAAATCTTTGCCTGCCTGGCAGGGACCAAGGGACCCGCTGCACAACAGCCTCCCACCGAGAAAGCCCCAGACTGTAAGATTTCTCTGCCCCTTAGCGGTCGCAAAGGAGCCAACAGCAGCCGGGCCCTAATCCTCCCAGGTCTTTAATTCATCTCCTGATGTCTGAAACCAGTCTTTGAAGGCACAACAAGAGTGCACACACCAGGGTCACACTTACTTTTATTTTCTCTGTGTTTCGATGTCCTGGCTGGCTCTTGAGCTTTTAAGGATACCCTGCAGGCCATTTGGAGGGAAAAGAAGAAATTAAGTGAACCCAGAGTCCAGAATACACAGCCTCTTAAGAAAAAAAAAATAAACAAAAAACAAAACCACACCCCCCCCAATATTTTCTTTCCCTGGGTATTAGCTTTGGTATATCCCTAATGAGACAGATCCCAGAACAGTCATTGTCAAAGTGTGAATTCTGGACCACCGCAACTGCCTCAGAGAAATTATTAGAAATTTCAATTTCTGGGTCCCCATCCCAGACTTGTTGAATGTGAAACTCAGGTGGGGGGAGTGGAACAAGCTACTTCCTACAGTCACCAGGTGATTCTGATACACACAGGCGATCCACTGGTTTAAAAGTCTCCTGAGGCAGGGGTTACAGACTTTTGTTTCCCAGTTCTCCTTTTAGAAGAAAGGTTTCAATTTGACAGCAGGAAAATCTTCTAGGATGAGTTGCTTGTAAAAAGCAGTACAAGTAGTGAGAGGTGGGAGAGCGGAAGGGACTTCCCCAGCACAGTCCAGTTTCCATATCTGTCTATCCCTCCTGGGAATTTGCAGACACCTTATTTCAAACACTTTATTTTCCTTCAAGACCTCTACAGCCTGCTCTGGGTTTTCTCCCTGTTCTTTCTGGAAGTGCCATCTAAGATAATTTTCATAACAAGGGGGGTCACAGATAGAACATTCACCCCTAATTATTTTGCCTTGGGCAAAGGAGTGGCTGGAGATCCCTCTTTCCTCCTGCTAATGCTAAGTGGCTAAACTTCCTGCGCAAAAGGAAGAGCAGTAACCTGTCTAGTTGAGGGTAGACTGGTGGTCAGAACTAGAGGGGCAAACTCTGGGAGAACTACACCTGGGAAAAGTTGGGCTGCGTAGTGTGTGGGTGCTGATGATCCGATGTAGAATGTAGAAGAGCCTCCTGATGGGGGAAGAATAGAAATTTAAACTCAGGGTGTGTTTGTGGAGGGGTGTGGGGTGGCCACATTTTCACTATCCCCTGTCATTGGTGGCCAGAAGTCAGTTGCTCCAGCTTTCAGTAAACATCCTGGGGTGACATAGCCCACCAAGGGGGAACAGGGTGTGGTCCCTGTGTCAGAGGTTTCCACACAACCTGATGTCAGTATAGCCCTTCTTTTTGCTGGTCCCAAGACCTATCTTTGATCTCTGAATTTTTCTGGGTTCTAAACTTCTTTGCAGAAATCCCTGGACAAATTCGGAGAACATAAGGGAGGGAAGAAAGTGTGTGTGGCTGGTATTGTAACCTACAACACTACATTCCAGATTGGTGCTTTGGTTCATGCAATAAAAAGAACATCTCCTGTACCTTATAAATACACACCCTCTTGAGACTCCGGAGAACACACTGTCAAGTCGGGTCTGATATCATCAATTCACTGCAGGTCACTTATTAAAAGTAACTGTTATTTACATGGAATTTTCCTTTACAAAGTAATTGCATAAATATTTCTTTTGAGCCATTTGTGAGGTGAAACATGAAAAGTAAGAGTATGATGATTATTATGACCTTTAGACTTTTTTGCGAGGATGGGAAAACTGAGGGTCTGGTCCTTTCAGGAGAAAGCTGGTCACAGTTGCAGCACTTGAAGCCATGAGCACTGTGTTAGTAGCATTGTGTCCACACTTAAAGCAAAGACTTCAAATTATAGGTAAGGGGCATGAAGAATTTTAAAAATTCGTTTGCAGATTCATATATTGAGGTAGCAAAAGTTTCTTCTCTACTGGGTCTGCCTGCATCCAGTGCTCACAATTTTGAGAATTTAACTTGTAAAAAGGTGAGTGGGAACTTGCAAAACTTATTAAATCAGTTTGGGACTCATCTCTGATTTGAACGCTTAATCAATGAGACAGGGAACTTTCCTTCTGGAAGAAGTGACCTGCTGAAGCAAGAGTTTGGAGAATGGTGAAGGTGGCCAGAGCTTGAAATGCCCAGGAAAAGTCAGGTGGGATGGAGGGTGATGAAGGGGTGGCAGGGTAGCCAGATACCTAGAGAAGTTCTAGACGTGCAAATGATGGGCTGGTAGATGGGGAGTTATCTCAGCTCCCAGCCCTCGGAGAATGGAGAGCAGCATTTGGTAATGCGGCAATTATCGTGGCCAGAGACGACCCCCCTGACGCAGCTGTTCTGGGGATTGGACAGGCCTTGCTTGCTCCCCTGTCCCCAGGGTAGGCGACCCACCAACTAAGTCTTTGGAGCTGGTTAGAGGTAAATGCAGGAGGGGGAGCGAGGACTCCAGGTACTAAACTGAGCCTAGAAAAAAAGGGAAAAAAATCGAGAAGAAAAAGCAAATGAAGCGGAAGTCTCAAGGCCCTCTGCGAGGAATAACAGTATAAATAACCGAAGACGTCTTGTAAACACTGCGGTCATAACCCCGAACATTAAACAGCCCCGGTGGCATCTGGCTCATCGGCGGCCGCGGGCTGCGCTGGGGCAGCAAGGGAGCCCGGTCCCAGGCTCCTCTGCCTCGCCTGTCTGTTTATCTCAACTTAATCTTCCCCAAGGAGCTGTTCCGTAGCCTGGAAGATGTTTAAATTAAAATCCAGTGCGCCGGAAGTCGTGGCTGGGAGCTGCATGCACTGGCTAACCTTAACCGAAAGGCTGGTCTGCGCGTTGCTAGAATAAATGAAGTAATTATTACTAAGAAACGTAGAGTGTATGTCGTAGCGCTTTGAACATCGTATGGCACCTCCTACGGGCATAGGGGGTTTACATTTTTCACAGCCCCTGCGATTCCTTTACTGGTTTGCAACCCTGGGTTGTTTGGGTTTCTCTCTAAGTTTGGTAAGTTAGAAAAGGCGGAGTCATCTTCCTGTCGGTGTCAGCGATTATATTATGGAATACATCGAAAATCGGATTTTCCTTTGCTGATGGGTTTTTCTCTTGAGCCGTGGAACTGTGAATAACTTTTGTTTGTTTGTTTGCAACCACATTACTTCTCATTTTCTTAGCAGTAACCTGCAATCTTGAGAGACCAGGGTTTCTTGGTGAGGTCTCAGTGAAAAAGATGAGCTGTACCTTCCTGGGGGATATCACATTTAAATCTTTTCTACCTTCAGAAGTTTGAATTGAAGTTCAAAAGAACCACTTGTATGATCAAACTTCTCCCACAGTGTCCCACTTTTTTATTCCAAATACAGTTTCTTAAAAAAATCACACCAAATGTCAGGGCTTTTAGCAATATATAGAAAGATTTATTTTCGAAAGTAGCAAAACTTGTTTGAAAAAAATATTTATCTTTAAGTGAGATACTTTATAAATGTGACTGTCAAAGTCAGCTATTCTATGATCTACATTTTACAACATATTGTACAAAAGATACACATTGATAGGCTCTTATCATCTATTCATATATTTATAATTACATATTGCACTTGGACCAGCAAGGCTCGAAGAGTCATTCACGGTAGAAGTTAATAAAGTTAAATAGATGGGAATCTTTGTAAGTAACAATGGATCTCCTCTGGTTTGGAAACGAATCTCCTCGTCGCTGTAAAGTGTTTTTGCGGGGTGGGGAAAGGAGAGGAGCATGGCGAGCGGGGAAGCAGAGACAGAGAGCAGGGAGGGCAGGGGTCGCCCTCCCGGGCCGCTCGGGCTGGGAGCGCGCCTTTCCCAGACTCGCACCTCCAAGGTCAGGACGCCGTGGTTCCACATAAACGGCTCGCGGTCACCACTTCTTTCAGGTCACTCTCGGGTTTCCCGGCCACCATAAAGGGCCACGTCTGCAGAAGAGAAGAGGTGGAGGAGGTAAGTGGCGGTGGAGCGGGGGTGGAGTAGTCTGGAAGCTTGGGAGGGAAGAAGAGGGCTCGGAAGCGACGCGCAGTGGGTTGGAGAGACCTGTTGTCGCTGTAATCTACTCCCGGCCTCCCTGAGCCCGCGGTCGGGTAGAGCAAAAAGCAGCATTGGCGCCAAGTCGCAGCTCGGGGGTGGGAGAGCAACGAGGGATTCATACTGAGTTTGAAGTGCAACCCAGGAGAGCAGGCCTTTGGAACAGTCCAGAGTGGGTCTTGCCCTGGCACCATTTGTAGCACATGCTGCAGTGAACCTGAGTAGGAAAGCTGTGAATGGCCGCGTGCCAACTGGCACCAGGTTCAAGACCAAGGGCCCTTCTGGTCCCCTTACTGGGACCGTGGTCAGATTTTTGCAGCCCTCTCTGGCTTTTCATGCCTGTCTATTTCTCTAATGCCAACTTTCGTTTCTTCCATCTATCACGAAGGCGGCTTGACCAGTTTTTAAATTAATTGCTTGCTATCTCTTAAGGAAAAGAAAAATCCAATGCTAATTAAAAACAAACAAACAAACAAACTATTTGAGATGGTCCTCATCAGGGGCTGAGGAAGCACTGCTTCTCTTCCCGTTGATGTTTGATAATAAAACTCACTTAACTTTCTTATTGAGAAATAAAGGCGGAAGCAATTGTTAATGTTCTAGACACTACTTTCATTTTAGCTCCAGGTTTAAAAAAGCTCTTTACTTATCTCATTCAAAATAATAAACTTTTCATTGGAGGGGAAGATATTTTCCAGTGCAAAATGTTGTTTTGCACCCCTCCCCCCAATGCCTGAAACTAATTTGGTGAGAAGACAATTCAAACCTCCCTCACTATTGCTGGCTGATAAGACTTGACTTTTAAGAGGAAAACCTCTCCTTCTTATCATATATAAACAGAGGTGCTAGTAACTTGTTGTTTTTCCTTACAGCCTGGAAGTTTTAAAACTAAATAAAATGAAAGAGGAATGAAAATTTGTTTCTTAGGCAGTAAAGTCATTTGAGAAAAACATTAGGTTCAATGAGCATTGCTATGCATAATTTTTATTTCAAGTTAAAAAAAAAAAACCAAGGTATTACCTTTTAGGATAAACAGTAACATGTTCTTAAATTTTGAGAGTGACCCATTTTAATATTATTTATAACGCTGATGCACTGGTACTCACAAAATTTTACTATTTATGCTGATCTTAGAACTTCTAAGATCTAAAAATACTGCTTTTGCACCTATGAGAGAGACAGAATGTTTAGTTGGGGGACTTAAGTGACAATTCTGAAGGGCATGAAAGTGTTTATATCCAAATGATCTTAAATATCTTGGGGAAAGAAACGGAGTTGGGTGTTTTTCTTTACAAGAATTTGAGGGGAAAATCAAATCCTGCCCTTTAAAAGAATAACGAAGGGATTGATACAACGAAGAACAAAGAGATTAATAAAATGCCTTCTCGCGGCGGAGCATGCGATCCGTGCGGTCCCGCACTGAAGCTTCACGCCAGCCGGAGGGCGCGGGTGCGGGGATCCACCTCTTTGCCAGTTTAACACACTTGCAAACTCCTAATTGGGCTGCCACGTCAAACACTCACATAAATCATCTCCACTCCGGCGGCTTGCAGGGCTGGGCGCGAGGGCCATGTGGAGCTCGCCTGCTTGTGTGCCCTAGAGGCGCTGGGCTGCTGGTGCCCGAAAACGTGTAAGTAATCCTTGCTCAGCCCGGAGCGCGCACACACACTTACACACGCACACGCACACTTACACACTCACGCCGCAGACACACGCACGAACCGTGGGCGCACAGCGGGCGCGCAGGGCAGGGGCATCCAGACCGCAGCAGCCACACGGGCGAACTTACCAGGTTGACTGGGTGAATGTAACCGTTCTCATATTTGTCGTTAGCCAGGATCTGCCTCAAGTGGGCGATGTAGCTGGACGCCAGCCGGAGCGTGTCCAGCTTGGAGAGCTTGGTGTCCGGGGGCACCCAGGGCAGGGTGGTCTTGAGCCTGGAGAAGGCCTTGCTCAGCACCCGCATCCGGGCCCGCTCCCGCGCGTTGGCCGCGTTGCGCTGGACCTGCTTCCCTTCCTGGCTGACCCCGCTCAATGGGCTCTTCTTGGTGGGCGCCTTTCTCCTCTTGCCCAGGCTGCCCCGACCCTTCTGGGGAGAGCCGGTCTCGCAGTTGGAGCTCTCCTCGGTGCTCTCGTTGGAAGTCACAAACTCCTTGTTCGAGTCCATTTTCAGCCCATCGCAGTCCAACATTTCCACTTCTTGAAGGTCCTCCACATCGCTGAGGGACCCGGTGGACATGTTTGAGGGGAGAGGGTGAGAGAGATGAAGAGAGGGGGTGGGAGAAAGAGGAAAGAAAAAGAAAGAAAGACCCCTGAGCCAACGGGCCCCCTGAGTGTGGAGTGTGCAGCAGTCGCCTCTCCGACGGAGCTGGGGCTGGAGATCCTGGTGGGTCTCGCACCCCTTCCCCCTTTGCAGAGTATTGAGAAGGAACCGTCGGGGGCTTCTGCGGGAAGGAAGCCGGCGCTCTGTTTCCCCACCCCGGTGGAGTCGTGGCCTTATGGGAGTGTGAGGGAGCGCAGAGGAATTTGGAGGACACTAGGAATTTATCTGGGGAATAGAGGGGCGGATCCTCGCAGCCCAGGGGAGGGGCCTGCCAAGCCCCAGCGAGGCTCGCAGACCCCTTTCACCACCCGAGCACAGCTCACGCACAGACCCCTATTTCCAACTTGTAACGTAAAGGCATTCAACTGCAAGCAGAAAATACTAGTCACCTTCTTCCACTGCGGGCGGGGCCAAGGAGGAGCAGGCCCCACCCACAGGCCCTAGCTCCTGCCCACCTCCTAAGGCCTGCTTTCCTCCCTAAGAGGCCACAGCCAGCCATTACTGAGAACTCTAGGAAACCCACCAGATCTTTTTGCTCTTCCTGTGGCTTCTCCCACCCACAAATCTCACAAAAGCCTCTCTGATCCCCACCTTCCCCTGTTCCGGAGAAAATATCAGTTACAATCCAGGCAGGGGTCAACTGCCTTCTCCCAACACCCTGTAAAACTGGGGATTTACCAAGGTACCTTCTAATCTCTCACCTGGGGTAATTAGGAAAACAAGTGCTTCATAGAACCTTTATGGTGATGACTGGAAAAGCACCAGAAAATTCCACTTGCACCTGGTGACTTTAAACTGTCAAGGAACGGCCTGTGTGTGTACAAACATGCTTGGCCATTGCACAACCACACGCAGTTTAGTGGGAGTTGGCAGGGATGAGATGTGAGTGTGCAAAATGCTTTGTTCGTTGCTCATCTTTGCTTAATAAAACTACAACTTTCCCTTAAATTTCTTTATAGAAATACACCTGAATTTGTCCTAAGTGTCTTAGTGTCTGTCAGACATCACCTTGTCCTTGACTTCAAGTTTCCTCTCTCCCGATGTTGCTAACTTTGCCTTCTACCTTTGCCTTCTTCTTATATCCTCTCCGCTAGCAGGGGTCAGCATGTGAAGCTGACATTAGGGAAAACTGAGGTGGATCATCCCTTTTCCACCCCTGTTCCTAGCCCCAGTCCAGATCATCTTCCCTGGGAAATAAGGAAACCTGTGGGGGATGGGGGTTTAGTACAAAAACAAAGGGAACCAGAAACCTAAGGGGTTAAATGAAATGGAAATGAAATCAGAGATGGATGTGTGAATCTCTCTTATTCGTTCTCCAGGCTTTCTTTCCTTACAGTTAAGCATTGAAGATAGAGGGGCTGGAGCAAAATGTAAGAGCAGCTTCCGAGCTTTTGGCTGAGTCTGCACCCCTCTTCTGCATTGAGCTATCATATCTCTAATCCTGGGCTCAGCTGGGAATTCACTAACCTCTAACGTTTTGTTTTGTTAGTAGGGTCTTGTTTGCTTTCCCCCTTTGCTGTAAACTAAACAGATTGTCAGCAAATCAGTCCTTATTAATGAATTAGTGAGACCCCCTCTAATAATATCTTTGCCCAGGATCCAAAATTGGTTAATCACCAGTGTAGAGATTTATGAGCTCTCTTATTTTCCGTTGTTTGTGCAGGTGGAGATTTAAATGACCATATCCACCACCAAGATTTATTGCAAGAGTGATTGATGTTATAAACCAGGAAAGGACTCTTCCCACAGCAGGGATGACAGAAATATCAAGTTGAAGTTGCCTTTGTCCTCATGTACTGTATAACACATGGCCTAGTACTACAACACAGAAAGTATAATAATTTAATCTGAGATACCAGACAGCATTAAGAGAACACCCAGCAGGCCTGTTAAACATTTCCCCACTGATTCCCAAACTAGTTTTCTTTGATTTGCCCTCCCTTTTCTCTGTCTTGGTAAGACATGAAAGTTAAAGTTATTTTTAGACTGAAAGAACTATGTGAAAATGGGCATTGGCCAATATTTTTTGAGATGTGTGTGTGTACAGTTACTGAGATATCTGTAAAAAAAAAATCCATTATTTATTTGGACTCTGGAGTGGGACAATAATTAAGACTCAAAACTATGTCCTTACTACATACTAGACTATTAAGCTGTAAAGTTTTTGCTTCTTGTAGATACTTCTTTTCGGAGTGGGGATTGTTGGGGAGGGGAGTCTAATTCTGTTGGTAGTCAGCTCAGGCTGCTTTGGGAAAAGTAGCAATCATAGATTTCTTTCTACTTTCTTAAGGTCTGAAACTTAAAAATAGTTATTTCTGGAAGGGAGCAAAGCTAATTTCATGTCACAAGCTATTTTCTGTGTCTTGCAATTATCATTATTTTTTTTTTTAGATAAGCAAGAATTAAGTCTACTTACCCTGCAATGATACATTTAGGCTGGGAAGGGCTAGTGGGTTGATCATAAACGTTGGGTGTTTATGAAAACTCTTGGAGATGGCTACTACTTTGGGAGCTAAATGTGAAGAAAACTGTAATTTAGGTATCTTGATGTGTAGATTAATGTGAGTAATACTTTTTTTCTCTCTTGACATTTTATGTCTATTCCTGCTAATAAACACTTAAGGACAAATGAGTAGGTGAAATGACTTATTGTTGGATTCTACTGAGCAAATGAGTTAAGCTGTAACTTAAGCGGTGCCAAATTCTCCCAAAATATAAACTATATTCTGTGAGAAGAGAAGCAGTTTTGAGAAACTGTATTAACTCTTTCAATATAAGAAAAATACTTTTAATGATCCTGACTCAAAGCAATAAATAGAAAATTAGTGGTTGGAAAACATGAGGTAGTGACTGAGTGGTTCTGCCTTACTTTTAAAGGATAGTTGAAGCCCCAGAGACATGAGGCCAACTTAGTGCTCAAGTCGATCAATTAGTCTAGCAAGGAGGCTATCTTTGAAAGAGTTCAGTGCTAAAGAAAATTTATCTTCAAAAATTGTAAAATGCAGATTAGGTGTGGAATGTATCCTTGAACTTAAGCTCTGGTTTATCAACTGATGCTTTTTCAGGAAGTTCAAATTTGATTCAGTTGCACTTGACTGGAATAATTTGCTTCCTATTTTATGAGAAGAAAGAACATACTGGGCTTCTTTTGAACTTACCTCATATGCTATCACATTTTATTTTCTGGGTGGGGGATAGGCCTTTAAATTCAAATTTTAATCCTTTTCTTGTATTACCCATAATTTGGCCAGAACACACAGGGCCAAGAATTGTCAAAACTGTCACTTCTCTTTTTACCTTCACATCTAATTAACCAGATGTGTGGTTCTCTTGATTTGATGGTAACTTCCACCACTTCAACAGTGTGCTGACTCCTTTCTCCATTCAACATAATTGTCACTGTACCTTCATTGCTCATGACTGATTTCCATCTTCTGCACATAAGCCCACTAAAGTCTGACTATTTTCAATTAAATTTTAAATTTGTTTTATAATGTGAGCATTATATCCTGTTACTTGTTTCAAATTATAATGGTGCCAGCCTGTTATAATTTGGCAGCCAACGTGAGTATGTGAATTGTGGATATCACTAGGAAGCTTAGATGCTACCCAAGGAGATTGGTTATGGTGATGCAGGATGTTGCTGGTGTCTTTACCTGGCATCATTTATGATCAGTAGTCATAGAATCTTTTAGTAATCAGAAGTCCTCTTTGTGTTCACTATACTTGGAACCTTGTTTTCACATTTAATATAATGAATTGTAGATCAGATGCTGGTAAATAACAATAAAACCCACAGAAAGACTCATCATGGGGCCTCCCTGTTGGCTCAAGAGATTAAGCACCGTACTATGAAGCAATCCACAGCCTCTGCAGCACGAGTTCGATCCCCGGACGGCCAGGGAGATACCCACATGGCAAAGCAGACCTCGCCTGTCTTGCCCACTGCTCCCCTCAGCAGTGTATTTCAGTCAGTCTGCCTGTTCTGCTCCCCACTCTGTCTCTGGTGGAGCCTCTCAGGACCCCCCCGCCCCACCACATCTCTGGACTGTACCCAGCTCTTGTATGCATAAATAAATAAATCTTTTTTTTTTTTTTTTTTAAAGAAAGACTCATCATGGTTCTCTACAGCTGAGAGGTAGTCTTGAATCTCACATCTCCATAATGTAACTTTGAAGCCCACCAAACGTATGCACCTGAAGGGCAGAGTTGACCTTGGGAACAAGTGACTTGAAGGAAACCCAGGCAGACAGTGAGAGGCAAAAACTCTACAGATCCAATTAAATGTTCTCCTAAGACTTCCAATACTGAAATTATTATATTATACTCCCATCAGGGCTAAACAAGAAAGGGGGAAAACTGAACAAATCTTCAGTCAGCCACCAGAGAAGTTTCTTTCCCTCTGTGCTTCTATTGTATGTAGAATTCTGTTGTCACAAGAGAAGAAAAAAAACGCTATACGCTATAGGAAATGAAAAGCTTAACAGAACCATGTGCCAGAGGCTTCTCTCTTAAGGCAGGAAGTTCTAGGAAAGCTTGCCTGAGTGATAATTGTCTGGGTCTTAATGTGAAGCTTAAAAACAAAGGCTCTCAATTTTTCTGAAAAGATTAAATTTTGTGAATCATACAGATTTTGTGAATTATATAAATTACCTCTATGCTAAATATAATTTGTTGATGGCTGTGCCAACAGATGCAGGCTGTTGCATCTGTGGAGAGGAGCCTCATTAGCACCAAAGTCTCCTGGTGACTATCTCCTGGCAAGATGTCCTTGCAGCAGGTGCTTCAGGCCCTCAGAAGCCAAGAGTCATGGAGAATAGATCTGGGACCAGCAGGAAAGTACTGAGTGTGAATCCTGACCTCAGGAATATGAAATTTTACCAAGTAATACAGTGTTTTTTAAAAAAGCCACAAAGTAATGGACTGTTCGAATTGGAAAGGGCTGAGAGCCAGTGGGCAGAAGTTTGGTGCAGGTTTTCTTAGTCATCACTGGCAGTAATGCCCCTTGAACTTGTATCCTGCATTCTGATATACCTCTTTCCACTAAACCAGTTTGCTTAGAATTGTTTTTCCTACTTGAATATTAAAAATTAAAAATAAGTGTGAGAAAACTTATGTTCTATTATCCGTCATTTATTAACAACGATCTGTTACAACTAAACCCTGATTTAATGAACACATCCTCAAATCTGCCCTCTTCTCTCCATCTCCTCTACTAAATTCTGCTTTAAGTTTTCAAAATCATTTACTCAAGTGATAATGTAATCTCCTATAGAGTCTTTTTGTTTCCATTTTTAACCTCCTAAAATCCACTTCAGCCACATTGGCTTTGTCTGGGTC